TAATCGCCTTCCTTTTCATGCGTACAAAATGTCCCTTAACAATTCTTCTTTCTGCCCCAAACATGACGATGAAGTTCTCTGCGATTTTCCTCATATAATTTTTGACTGCTGTGCATTTTAAAGTAATCGTTCTATTTTATTTAATAATTTATCTCTTCTTAATATCTATCCTATTAATTGTTACACTATTCTTAACTCAACTTCTCTCGATGTAATATCTTTAGTTATTTCTTTCATTCATTCAGCTGGTTTTTTTATTTAAAGATGTTTACTGTAATTTTGTTGATGTAAGATCAATTGTACTATTTTTTTTATTATTATTATTATTTTTTTTTTCTTTTCTTATTTTATTTAATTGTTAAGCTATAATAATACTTTGTATTGAAAGCTAATAAAAAAAAAAAAAATTGTTTTTTATTTCCATAATTTATACCTTTCCCCTTTAATTTAGTAAATTTTTATGTCTTATAATTTTCTCTATTTGTAATTTGAATAAACTTTTGATATTCAAGTCAATATATTTAAGTTCATCATACATGATATGACCAAATATTTGGATGTATATCAGACACAAACCATTTTTATTAATTATTCCAAATTTCATGCTAATGAAGTTAACAACAATTATTACTCAAGGTGAAATTCATCTAGACATTACTTTTTCGATAATCTCATAGCGTAAAAATGTTATTAGTAAATAAATTTGTAATAATCGTATTACAAATAATTGTGCTTTTAAACTCGTTTATGAAATTTATTTAAGCGTATATTAAGGTAAATTAAATTAAAAGTTGTTTTATCCTATCAATTTTTTTTAAGGCGTTTAATTTTTAAACCTGAATGTATTTGATGGCATTCACCATAAAGTTCTCTATACCGGTTAAGTTCAGCTGCTTTAACATTATAATTTCAAAAGTATAGACAATACATTATATTAAATATAATTATTTTATTATAATATATGCTGTACTACCAATTAGTTCCTATTTACATCATACTTGTAAGTAATTATTTTAAATTGATGAAAATATGCTTTTCAAATGTAACTACCTTCTCCTAAATGTTATTATGTCAATTTTTTTTGATATATTTCAAAACATTTTTTGCTAGATCAATGAATAAACCCAAAACACATTTATAATTTTTACTATTTAGATTTAGAATATGGTATATTTTTTATTAGCTTAACTGAACTGTATAAATAAATGAAATTACTTTAATTCTTTATTGCTACAGTTACTATATTTAAAAAAATGAAAATTTTTATTTTAACATTAATTTAAATTTAGTAGTAAATGTTTTCTCCAATTATTCATGTAAATCATTGAAATTTAAACAGTCTTTAGGATTTACTATTAAATAAATCATTGTTATTAGTATAATTTTTATTGTTCATTTGATAGAGTTTATTTTTATGTGACTGTGGTTAAATTACATGGTACTGCTGTATACCTAATCTCTAAATTAGCTACCATCCAAAATTAAAAAAATGTAAATGTATATACACATATCACTCAAATACTCACACAATAAAAATAACTTAAAAATAAAAATGTAAAGACACAAGTATACGAATTATTTTAACATTTAATAGATTTGCAACAAAGCGTTTTTAATTATATCGATATTAATCATCGTCAGACATATTTGTTCCAACTTTGCCACGTCTCCATTGTTATAGTATTTTTTATTTTTATGAAAATATGAAAATAATGAACAAACAAATGCTTTTACTTCATGAACTCAATTTATTAAGAAAAAAAAATTAAATAAAAATAGAAGGTACAATTTATTAAATTCTATTAAAGAAGTTTAGCAAAGTAAATCACAGCAATTTTAATCAGCAAAATAATATCAAACTTTGATACGGTCAAACAAAATTTAATGATTGAAAAAATAATAACATTAGTCATATTAATAATTGATATTATTAATATTCATAATAAACTATTATATTAATTAATATAATAGTTTATTGTAATAATAACATATTAATAATTGACGTGTTTATAAATTTTACAACGATAATAACATTAAAAAATATTGTATTGTCACAGGCAACCGACCGTCCCAACGACAATTGGAACTGAGCGTAACGATCCGTTGAAAATCCCACGCAACGGAGAAGATCGTTTCGAAAAAGTTCACGGGATACATCTCTTAACGCGCTTATGGCAATGCGCAAGTCTAAAGTAAAGAGATCACTGCACAACAAATCCGGTCCCTCACTAAAACGATTGTAAGCGAACGACGGACCGTATGGAATCACCGCACAGATGACGCGAGAACCAGTGGAAACAGATTGCACTTATTACGTACGTCTGTCCAAACCGAGACGCGTAAGTTTCGAGCCGGACAACGCGGCCCAAAATAACACGGCTCTACAACAACGCTCGAATGAAATCGATGAACGCTAAGCGTAACTTAAAGCGATCATCCAGTTAGCGACTGTTCCATAGATTAACCCCTTACGTTATACGACCTCCGTCCGTTGAGACCACTGGCACAGCAGCTGCTCTTATAGGCCGACAGTTTTGGGAAACGGCGACGGAAGAAACAGTCCGCTCAGAGACACAATTCCTACCAAAATACATCTCAACGCCAGTAATAAAATCAAGAGATCAGGAAGTCTATTGGAATTAGACAGCATGTACAATTCATCTAGGAGCAAAGAGACGCATTACGGCATGCTAGAAAGAATGTGCGCTTCGCATTCCACACGATTTATATCTAATAAAATTAAATGTAGCAGATGACCACATACGTGCGAATTATTAACATAGACAGTGAATGACTACGCTGCGGTTTTTAATTTCACGGCGGGACGCAAAAAGCTTGTCGAACACGATATCGTTCTAAGGACTAGACGCCCATCGAGCATTATACCATTCTTAGATCTTCTGCACAAACAAGATGCGATAGGAATCACAGGAAACGCAGCATCTCAACCTGATCGCCACCATTTATTCTGTCCAAAAAAAAAAACCGCTCAAACCTCCTGTGTGACTACAGGCCGTTTGAGACACGTACCCCATGCCCAATTTAAACGATACTATTGGAAGTACGAGATGTACTGTTATCGCTGCCAGTGTGGCCTACCCAAAAAGGTTTTAACTCATAAGTAGCGAACAAACGCTCACAATTTTATTTGTATTATTCGTTCATGCAAATATCTTTTTCGCTAAATCAAAAGTTATCAGAACATGAGAATCACTCTGTATATAATAATCATTTAAATTACATTATTATTTTATTAGAATAAAGTGAAATTCGTCATCAAATCCCATGTGTGGGATCAAAAAACCATGTAAACTATTAAATTATTTTCGACTTATTTTTCATTTGGTTAATGTATTTAAAATGATTTCAAATAAAATTATAATATATCAATAAATTTCACAAGATTTCATTCCTCGTGCGTAAACTTGCCCCGCTTTCCACTATTAAAAACATTTAGGATCTAATAATACATTTTTTATGATGAAATTTCAAATAACAAATAAATGTAAATCCTATACAAAATTATTTAAAAACCTATGTACATAGAATTTTTCAGTATTTCAATAAGTAAAAAAAAATTCTAATAATCTATCTTACTCCATTTCTTACAAAAAGTACAGATATGAAAATTTTTTTTATTTTTTTATTACTATCCATATTCATACTGTTTACGGAAACAAAAAGAAATTATAAAAAAAATACAGATATATGTAAAAGTATCGTTAAAAATGTTGGATGGAAAGATTTGAATGATGTGGAATCTATTGTGTATTGGCAAATAAATTATAAATTAAAAAATCATCTAGGAAATATTACAATAGATGATTGTAATAAACATGTTCGAGTATTGACTATAACATTGGTCTGTTCATACGTATTCGATTTAAAAATACTATTTTTTATATTCATAGAATTTGGAAAACACTGTAGTAGTTTTATTTCCAAAAAGGACTCCGAAAATGGATATCAATGCGCTATAAAGTTATTGCACATTTTACGAAAAATGCCATCTTTAGCAACATTGATGAAAGACACACTTTTTGTATTGGACTATTTACACACAGATCCATGGAAAAATTATTTTATTTTTGAAAATTTATTCTTTAATTTAGAACAATTTAACGAACATTCAAGAGATTTTATTCCGACAAAAAATGATTCAACAACCACGGAAAACTTTATACAATTTGTTAATGGGTTTTTTTTTATTAGAAATATTGACTCTAACTATGAGTGTTTTACGCATTGTAAATTTGTATCATTAGATACAGATTTGATCTGGAAAGAATTGAATGAAGAATACCAAGGTAAAATTAAAGAAGACATAAATTTGACATTCTACGATTATCTAAGTGAAAAAGTCAATTTGAAAATTAATTCCATAATCATAAACAAATTTCATAGACTAGGTTTTCGGCATGATCGAAAAACACTACAAATTGGTATACCTCTACCATCTCAGTATAAAACTAACGGTATGAATTTATAAATAGTAATTTAAAACTGAATCTTAATGCATATATTTTAACTATAGATATAGAACTTTTTAGAAGACCTAATTGCACTCCTGCTACAATTCAAAGAGAACCACAAAACAGAGGTATAATTTGAATTATAAATTTTAATATAACTTACATAAAGTTAAAATTATTTTACTAGTATTACTTCAAATATATTTCTTATTATTTAAGTATAATTAAAAACATTATTCTTAAAAGATCTCATTTAAAAACTTTTATTAACTTTTATTGTTTGAAAAAATAATAGAGAAAATTGATAATAAATTATTATCGTGTTGAAACCTAAATGTATATGTTATAAAATTTTAACTAGACACTCTTAAATTTTATGACTTTTTACTAGAAATGGAAAATCGTTGGATACTACAGCTTATAGATTCATTTGATGAAGGTAAAACTCTTACTATAAATGGTTTTTTCAAAATTCTACTTACACAAAAACATATTTTTATTTCATTAAATATTTTATTTTTTTATTAGAATTGGTTAATGAATCTAACACCAATGAAGAAGTACAGCTAATTGATTTTCTTGGAAAAGGTAAAATGAATGAATCGTCGATAATGACTTTTATAAATTTTACTATAATTACAAGTTAACAAAAAGTAAAATAAAAATTGATCACTTGTGGCTATTATTACTTAAAATTAAAACTATATTCAAAATATTAATAATTTAAAACTAAAAAATATCAAAATTATTAAGCTGAATTATTTGTATTTCATTAAATTATTTTATTTTTTTATTAGAATTGGAAAATAAATCTAACACAAATGAAAAAGTACAGCTAATTGATTTTCTTGGACAAGGTAAAATAATTAAATCGTTGTTAATAATTGTTTATGTTTTTTTCTATTAATATATATTAATTTAAAGTAAAAATTAAAAGAAACAAATTATTTTTTTCCTACATTATGTACTATAAAATTTTATATGTCTTTTCAAAATAATAATTATTTGTAATTTAATCACTTGTGGCTTTTATTAATTAAATTAAATCTATATTTACAACATTATTAATCTAAAACTAAAAAAATTCAAAAATATTGAGCTTAGAGAGCCACAAAAAATTACTGAAAAATCGCAATATATAATACAATGTTAAAGTTGTTATGTTAAACTCTTACTATAAATGGTTTTTTTGAAAATTCTAGTAATATAAAAAAAATATGTTTGTATTTCATTAAATTATTTTATTTTTTTATTAGAATTGGAAAATAAATCTAACCACAATGAAGAAGTACAGCTAATTGATTTTCTTGGACAAGGTAAAATAATTAAATCGTTGTTAATAATTGTTTATGTTTTTTTCTATTAATATATATTAATTTAAAGTAAAAATTAAAAGAAACAAATTATTTTTTTCCTACATTATGTACTATAAAATTTTATATGTCTTTTCAAAATAATAATTATTTGTAATTTAATCACTTGTGGCTATTATTAATTAAATTAAATCTATATTTACAACATTATTAATCTAAAACTAAAAAATTTCAAAAATATTGAGCTTAGAGAGCCACAAAAAATTACTGAAAAATCGCAATATATAATACAATGTTAAAGTTGTTATGTTAAACTCTTACTATAAATGGTTTTTTTGAAAATTCTAGTAATATAAAAAAAATATGTTTGTATTTCATTAAATTATTTTATTTTTTTATTAGAATTGGAAAATAAATCTAACCACAATGAAGAAGTACAGCTAATTGATTTTCTTGGACAAGGTAAAATAATTAAATCGTTGTTAATAATTGTTTATGATTTTTTCTATTAATATATATTAATTTAAAGTAAAAATTAAAAGAAACAAATTATTTTTTTCCTACATTATGTACTATAAAATTTTATATGTCTTTTCAAAATAATAATTATTTGTAATTTAATCACTTGTGGCTATTATTAATTAAAATTAAATCTATATTTACAATATTATTAATTTAAAACTAAAAAATTTCAAAAATATTGAGCTTAGAGAGCCACAAAAAATTACTGAAAAATCGCAATATATAATACAATGTTAAACTCTTACTATAAATGATTTTTTCAAATATTCTAGTTATATAAAAAAACCCAGCACAGGGGGGGTCGCGGCACAGTGGTGACGTGGTATAGATGGATAAAGTATAATGATATCGGACAGTGATTANCAAGTATAATGATATCTGACAGTGATTAAAATCACTATCAAAAAAAACGCTTCGATGCAAATCTTTAGATAGTGTTTAATTTAAAAAAATTGGTAGATTATTCTTAAAGCTACATGATCTGCTAGTTCATTATTAATATCCTAATTAAGATAAAGTATGTCGAATGAAAAGGGGATTATTAAAAAATATTATTTCTCATAAAAAAATAATGTTGATCCATATACTTTTCAATGTGTCATAGCATTATAAAGTTAAAAATGTAAAACATAAAATCGAGAATTTTCACACAATAATAGCATTCGGTAGCCAATTTCACCCTGAAGGCAAAATGAAGTACGAAATTTTTTTTTACCATAATAAAGTATATTACATTAGCTTTAATTTAA